ATATAAATGAATGTATAACATATATAACATAAAGTATAAATTAATTATACATTGCACAAATTACATAATTAAAAACCAACACTTTGTTAATTATAATTATATTCCTTTATTGACCAAAATTTGTTAAATATGAAAAATTTCTTTCAATAAAATACAATTGCTTTGAAATTTTTTAAATACATTAATATTACAAACAATTTTTAATGTAACAAATATTACAAACATATAAAATTATATTATATGTATATGAAATGTAATTTAACGAGGACACATAACATGTCTTCCTCCATCTACAGATAGAGTTTCACCTGTAATAAAACTGGCATCGTCACTTGCCAAATATGCAATTGCTTTTGCAACTTCACTAGCATTTCCTGGTCTGCCAAGGGCATGAGTTTCTTTACTGTGCTCAAAAAATGCTTTTAATTGTTCATCTGACATTCCACTATTTTGATGCAGGTTTGTTACTATTACACCTGGATTTACAGCATTTACCCTCACCTACAAATTAAAGAGTAAATATCATAAAATTTACATACAAACTGTTATAATTAGTAAGCTTCAGAGTTATACATACTTGTTTTGGTGCAAGTTCAAGTGCTATACATCGTGTAAATTGATCAATGGCTGATTTACTCATGCAATATGATAAGACTCCTGAAAATGATCTTAATCCAACTACACTGGATACATTCACAATATTGCCTTTAGCTTTTACTATGTGTGGAACAGCTAACATTGTTAAATGATACACTGAACGTACATTTATATTGAAAACTCTGCAATGTGTGCATTTCTTTAATATCTTTTGTAAGATGTGAATCAAATGTTATAAATTTAATTCTTAACTTATACCTGTCATATTGTTCTAATGAAGTGTTTTCTATGCTTCCAATTTCTAACACACCAGCATTATTAACTAGAATATCTAATTTACCATAATGTTTGATAGTGGACTCAATAATGTTCTTAACATTAGTTTCATTAGTTAATTCTCCAGTTATAATTAATGGTTTATTGGATGTACATTTTTCAGCAACTTCATTTAATTTTTGCACATTACGACCTGTTAATGATAGCAATGCACCAAGTTCTGAAAAATGTATAGCTGTTGCTGCTCCAATACCAGAACTAGCTCCAGTTATTAGTACAACTTTTCCTGCAAATGTCATCTGAAAAATGTATAATTAATTTTAGTATTAATGAAAGTTAATTTTTTACATAAAAAGTTATAATACTTTATTACTGTTTCTTAATCCAAGAAAAACTATGATTTATGGAATTTCTATACTAATACTTAAAATACGTTACTTCGAAGTAACATTTATAGATAACAAGATAACATTTTTTTAATATATAGAATTACTTACCGTAATTTAAAAATTGGCGATATATTCTTAAATATTTTTTATGAAATACCTTGATTTTTCTATGCTTGTATTACTTGCAAGTGATTACTTAAATCTAACTTTGTCGTTCAAAGCTGGTGCATATTACCGAAGTAAGATTAAAAATGACCACGTTACACTTTGGTATCTATTTATTGCGGAATTTTAACGAATCACATATTCGAAGGTTATAGCTGTAGATATGATAACAAGGCGCGTAAATTCAAATATTAGGAATTTCAATGAATGCATAGTTGATAATTTTTCATAACTTTTTACTGTAAAAAGAGGTTAATAAAAAGGCTTCATGTTGTAACAACTATATTTTGCATATAAATTGAAAATAATCTTAAAATGTTTTTTTTTTAAACAATTCCCTAAATTATATTTTTATAAAATTTACTTATATCATAACTTAATGTATATGAGTGGTAAATCTATAAGGTATGTCTTAATTTGTCAACTTTATTTGTTCCAATTCAGCTATTACAGTATTTAAATATTCTGTAACTTCTTGCAAGCATGTAGAAATTGTTTTAGTCTTCCAGCTCTGCTCTTTAACTTTTTTTACAACTCCTTGAAGAGATAACTTTGCACTTCCTAACAATGTTCTTTTCTTTTTAAATTCGCAATCAAAAGCATATTTTAAATGCATTTCTGCTAATATACAGCATAAACGTAATACTTTTTCGACTGATTCTTCGTGCTGAAACCACTTAGGATCTGATACAGCAATGCAATGTGCTTTTTGTATATATTGTACTACTTTGTCATTGTCAACATCTGTTTTTTTAAGAGCAGTAAGTTCTGCGTACATTTTCCAAATATCAGAATTATTAGGTATGATGGAACAAATTCTTCCAAATAATTCTAAAATTTTTGGAAGTAATTTTTGTGCAGAATTTCCATCTGAGTCATTTATATTATTTAGTACAGCACTGGTTAGTATATTAAGAATTTGTATATCTAAGTGATGGCTTTTAAGATCTAAAATACGATGATAACATCGAATTACCTAACAAAATTAAAAAGAAGCATGAATATTAAAAACATATATAATTTTTGTAGAAAATAATCTAATTTTATTTCTAATAATGTCATGTATTCATACTTCTGAAAAATGTCCTAAATCGATGCTGACAATCATTAAATTATCCCAAATTTGCCACCGATCGTAATTACATTTTATAGCATCTTGAAGAGATTTCCAAGCTTTTCCTTTATCACCTAGTTTAATGTAAGCTGTTGCCAAGTTATTCCACGCCTCGAATGTCTATAATTAATTTGTAGATTTTTTAAGTATAAGATATTCTATAATAAATTAAAAATTCTAAAAAGTTACGTATACCGATTGTTCTAGAGCACAGTAACGTTTATATGCTGTTGCTGCTAATTTCCAATCTTCTGTTTGCAAAGCAGCGAATCCAAGTCTTATCCAAACGCTTTCTTGAATATTATTTAATTGAACTGATAATTTTAAATGTTTTATAGCTTCTTCATACTACAAAATAAAAAATAAATGTATTACGGAATGAATTGAAATATTAAAGAACATGCTTTAATTATTTGGGTATTCACATTTTTCTTTACAAAATAAAAAAATCCCCAATGTCTTTGAACTCGACTACTTTTTTCATTAGACAATTTCCATGCTGTCTCATAATGACTAGGATCTTGAGTTGCATCACCCAACAAACACCATAATTGAACTGTTGGTTTTTTGGATATCTCTTGACGAATTATTTCTGCTGCCTGAGATTATTAATGAAATAAAAAATTTACTTATTACATGAACATTAAAAAAAGTGTAAGTAAATAAGAGAAAAAATATACTTTATGTTTCAATTCCAATATATTGTAACAGCTAATAACTTCTTCCCACAGCTGAAGCTTTAAAAAAATATCTAAAGCACCTTTTACCAATCCCAGACTTAACATCAATTGTGCCCACATTTTTTCTAAAGCCCAAACTGGTTTAAGGCCACTGGCAAAGAATAAGTCCATTTTGTGAGCAACAGGAACTTGTTTATTGCTTAACTCATGTATTAAGTGCTCTATTTGCATCATTGATCGTTCAACAGTTCTTTTATCACCAGATTCCAAAGAACATCGATAATATAGGGATGTAATTTTTAAACACCAATTTTTTGTATTTTCTGTTACAACCTATTAAACAATTACTTTTAATAATATATTAAAAAGCATAACATATGGCAAGACTTACATCTAAATAGGGTTTAACTTCTTCATCTGTCAATTTATCTTTTGGCTGTGACAATTGCAATTGAATACTATTAAAAATAAAATTTGCAGTAGAATATAATTTTTTTTAGAAACATAATTGTGTGCTTTGTATCTGTTCTGTAAACTTGATATGATCTAATCTAATATCATCATTCAATTTTAGAGATTTTGGTAAATTTGTACAACATCTAGAAGGAAACTGATTTTTTCCTATGCTTATCCTTAAAAATAATTGTGCTTTGTCTTCTTGCTGATATTTTGTACGTTTACCTAATGCACCTTCAAGGTTTAAACTTAACTTTGCTGTTTCCTGAGCAAGCTCCACATACTTTTCTGAATTTTGAATTCTTCTATAATAAAAGTAAAATTGTGCAGCTTCAATATAAAATAAAGTTGCACAATAAAAATTTTGTTTCAATAACTGTAAGTCATTAATTTCTTTCATCAACTGCTCTGTTTCATCAAATAAAATACCAGAGCTTTCATTTAATATAAGTTGATGTAAAAGATTTGTTCTAAATAACCACCAAATACTACTTTTGTAAGTATTTTGTAAAATTTCATTAGAAAATATTATTTTAGAAAGATAAAGTAGTTCTGGCATTTTAACATTTACATTGCATTCATCATGTAAGGATAAATCCATAAGTGCATCTTCTTTTTTAATCTTTAACCATTCAATATTTGTATCAATTTGTGGACCTGTCCAATTGCACTGAATAAAATATAATAAAGAAGCTATGCCTTTATATAGCCAAGATTGTATATCCCCTTTTTCAATGCTACTGTGTAGCAACTTAGGAAAATCATTATTATTATGTGATGCTTGAATTACACTTAAAGGTAATTCATTATTTATAACATCTTCATATTGCCCATTTAATATATTTTGTACACAAAATGGTAATTCGTGAACTAAAACAAATGAAATTATATATAAAATTAACTTAGTTATGATAAAATACATCAATAAGAAAATATAACCTAATACTATATGTAAATATGTATAAATATTTTAAAATAATTTATCTACCTCCATTTTCAACGAAATTTATAAGTAATGCAATTTCAGTTTCTTCATTTATTATTTTGTTGCTATTTAAAATATTCATAGCTCCCATATGATACTTCAGAGCAAGGTGGAGCAGAGCTGCTCTGGCAGACGTTTTACGAATAAGAACGCTCTTCGTTGCTCGTGAGCACTGTACAAATACAGCGAGAGCAAGTGACGTCGCAATCGTGAATGGAGTGGGGAGCAAAGATAGTAGTACAGTGTAAGCTTATAGGTAGGAATGCTTTGGTTTTTGTGTTTTCAGCGCGATTACTACTACATTCGTATAGTACCTTACTGCAGAATCATTGCTCGAGGCTGCAGAACTCACGAGCAACAAGCACTCTTACTCGTAAAACGTCTAATTACCTGAACAGCTCTGTTCTAATGGTATACGAAAGATAATGAAATGATACAATTGTTATTATATGTGCATATTATATTACATTATAACGTCATCATGTATTAGTATTATATATTTTATACAACTTATTTATCGTGAATTAGAAAAAATGTGATGTCAACAAATTTTATTAATTTATTAAATAATTATACCTACAATTGAAATATGAGAATACAATAATAGATAGAAGGAGATCAAAAACATAATAATTAGTAAATATTAGTATTCTTTTGTAAATGTTTTATCATACATTTTAGTATTTATCAAGAGCTATTTACACTTGGAGCTTTATATATGCAAAACGAAGTCTTATTTTTATATTTTTTATTGTTGTTTGAAATTGTTATTCTTAATATATTTTAGGTATTTTATTTAAAGAGAAAAAGAAAACAAATTTCAAAATAAAAATCTCATTAACTTTGCAATAATCGTACAATTATTGTTTATTATTACTATTGGAACTATACTATCACATACACAAGTAAATTGAATACAATTGTTCTCAACAATTGATTAAGTACATTATAATAATCATTATGTACCACATGTTAAGGCATATTGGAGATCCTGAGGAATCCTCACTCATTTACATGTGGGTGTATAATATAATAATAGATATATTACAATTAACAAGCAGATATATCAAATATATGTGCTTGCAATATTTTATAACCTTAGGAATATTTTTTGACCCGTACAAAGGGAGGGATAATTTCCTTTTCATTGTAGCTAGTTCTTTAATACTGAAAGCTTTAAAAACACATTAAATATAATATATGATTAATCAGGTAAATCTTTCACTTTTGAATAAATATTTATCATAATATTAAATAAATTAATTTGCAAATTGAATACATGAATAAAATCAGCAATACACATTAGCATAAACAGTATGCTTAAAATATGAAAGGCTTATTGTAGCACACTTTTTAGAGGCTTATGCCACTCATTTAAATTGTTTAACAATGACTTAAAAGGAATAGTATAACGTATAAAGGATAAATATTAATTGCTCATTTTTTACACGATAATAAAACTTTCAGAAATTTAAGTCGTTTTCGTTGTTATTATCGTTGGACTCTTTTTTTGCAGCTATCAAATTTTCCCATTGTGCGATGAGGGTGCTTCGACGTCGTGGATTAGGCTGTAAACAATTAGGTGTACGTTATAAATCGATTGAAAAATATAAATAAATGTATATGTATAATAAAATCTAATACTTAATGACAGCAAAATATTAATCATCGGCGATTACAGAGATTAGATAAGCAATGCTATAAATATACTTGATCAATATTAACGTATCATACTTTGAGGAACATGTAGAAGGTACCTTGTGCTTTCCTTTAGCTTCTTTTTCTACTTCATCTTCATTTAAAGTATTCGTCGAAGTACCACTTCTTAACGAACTCGAACCGTCGTAGATATCGGAATCATTGTCGTTTCCAATATCCAGAAGATTTGGTTGAGATTTGGCCAACATCTGTGACCGCATTAATCTAAAAATATAGATTACTACTCGTTACTTTGCATTATAAAATAAAAAATATAAACATTACAATTAACACAATAATTTACCTCAATGATACACTTGATCCAATAATGTACGATTGTAAAGATTATTTAAATCGTATATTAGTAACATAATATATCTAAATGATTATAACTTTTCTAAAAATCAAATCTAACAAACTTATCGTTATTTTATGAAATAATCTATCATATTATTATTTAAATACTGTACACCGTCAGAGTTGGTATATTTATTATTACAAAAAGCAGAGATGAAAAAGTGAGACAAGTTAATAAAAAGTACGACGCATAATAAGTAATGTTACCTAAGCTCATTTTCCCTCTCTTTCATTTCGTGCAATTCCTTCTGAATTTTTTCTTCCACGGGTACATATCCCTTTCTAACTGGAGGCTTTTTCGGTTCATCGTCCGGTTCAAGTTGAATCTCTAGACTTCTGTTAAAAGCTTTAATGCTTAACGGATTGAGTGCAATAGTGGGTGTGACAGGTGGCGTCAGCGTGTCGATAGCGGCAGATTTCGGTTTATAAATTTTCCCCCGTGTGGCTAGAAACCTGTGCATCAATCCTTTTTGACTGGGTGCCGTTGCGAAACGCAGAGGTGTCGGAGTGGTACGACTGGATATCACTCCATTTGTCATCTTTGGCGTTAAGGGCGGTGTGGACGGTGTTAGGTTAACTGCTTCCAGAATTTGTGGCGTAGATGTTGTCCTTTTCAACTTTCCTGAGGCTAACGCTTGTGGCATGCGTCGCACCTAGCAGATCATTATTTCTGATAGTTCTCATTCCTTTCCAATTACTTGTCAATTAAATAATAGAAAAAAAGATATTTATATGCTTGGTTCGAGGAAAAATTTGAGCAAGAGTAAACTAGTTCGAAACGAATAAAGAAAGCCTGAACGACCTTTTTAACAATGTACCGTACATTATTCCTAACCGTAAATTATTCAAGAATTACATTTTTAACTGCCATTATCGGTAACATAATAGCAGCGTTACATGCAAAAAATGCAGTTTCACGGAAAACAGTATTACATTTACTTTAACGTATCAGCAGATAAGATATTTTCATCGAAATCCGGGTCGCGTTACAAAAAGCAAGTGCAACCGGCTGTTTGCGAAATAAGTGTACACACTCTCTCGTCTTGTAACAATTATTTCGCACGTCCGGTGGTAATTAATTAGCGTAAAGTATGTAAAATCGAGCGATCATGCTACGATTATTAATCCGATGATTGTATACAGTTTCTATTCTCGGGAACGCGCTACGAATTTGGCGAACGAAAGTTTATCGCCGTAACGTTGGCCCACGAAACCCATTAGTTCCGTTCTGCTTAAATATGCACATCTGCCGCAAACATAAAAGAAGACATTTACATTAACTTTTCTTCTGTGCGTGAAAATATCACGTATATGGTATAATTTGTAATAAAATCGAGTTAACTTAATTGATAAACTTCTTACTAATTTCAATATAATTTTCTTTTCATATTTCAAAGATTTGACAAAAGAAAAAAAAAATGACAAAATGCGGATAATCTTTTATTTATTGCTTGAAAGCAAAGTTCGTAATAAGAAATTACGAGAATTTAACTTTTACTATATTTTCGTAACGATATACGTATGTTAATTTAATCGTTCAACTTTATTTAAAAGGCTCTCTAACCAAAATCTTCAAACGACACGAAACATGTTAAACGAGAATTTTCCATAAAAAGACACTCTCGAGAGGTTGCGCTGTAAGATTGAATTTTTCGTCGGCTAATTCTCATCACGTATGTATGTGTACGTAACAAGGTTAAAATGGTGCGCGCGAGTCGTGAATCATTAAATCAGTAACCGTGTTTATAATCGTCCTCGTCGCCGTTTTCCAATGCATTTCGTCTCTATAAGGACTATACGTCAGGCATTTACTCTTTCTTTCTTTCGTTCGTTCAACGACCTTGAGCATGGTCGACACAAATGTATATACTACCACGTAACGCTCACGTATATACGCTGAAGTTTTAAGCGTACCTTGGAATCCACCGTCTCGTGGGATGTGGTTTTAATGCTACCCACGTTTCTGAGCTCGTGCTCCCTCTCCGTGACCTCTTCGATTTCCTTCTGTATTCTGTCCGTCGCCTTCTTCAACTGCTCCAACCTATGCTCTGCCTGCGTATGCAACGAAATGGAATGAAAAGAAATGAAACGAAAGAAAATGGATCGAGTTTAAAGCAAAATAGACTCGAAATGAAATAACTTTTTGTGTAACATCTTTTTCATTCTTTTCGAACTATACGAACGAACTATAAAACCTTCCACTTTCTCTCTCTCTTTCAATTTTATCGATTCGTCGATAGACACGAACGAACTAATAAGATCTTTCACGTTTTCTTGTTTCTCTAATCTTCTCCTCGATTTATACCTCGTGACAAACGCGATTCCAGTCACGTAGGGTTGCGTAATTACAGAAACGAATGTTTCAGATTGTTGAATTAATAATAGTGCAAGCTGACCTCCCCTCTGAACCACGATTCCAATTTCAACATGAACCGTGTAACTAGCCTCTAAACACCGGTCTCTGAACGCCTCCACGGTCTACAAACCTTTTTTCTGTTGCGCGAGAAATTAACCGATCCTCCTTTCTGCCACAGAAGAAAGAAAAAAAAAAAATATACAAACCGCGCGACGACGAACCAAATGCAACGCTACCTTGTGTCGATCGTTCTACTAACGGGAAACGAATTCCAGAAAACTAGCTGAACACGACTGCCGTACGATTAATTCACTCTACTATCCTTCACCATCTCTAACGTGCAAACCTATCAAAACTTTTATAGTACACTGTTAGAAAGGGTAATCAGGTTTCTGTACGAGAATAAACGCACATCGTTAACATTTGTGTGGCTTGTTTGTACAACTTCTGTCTGAACGTATGTAATTTGGAAAACTGTTGTTACTTCTATGTTTCTCGTAGCTTTGTGTTTCCGTAAATACGAATACATGGTTCCACTTGTGTACAGTGTCTTTATACACTCCGGCGAAGAATGAACTAATTGATGTTCAGATTTAAATTTTTCCAAGAAAAATGAAAAGTAGACGCCACAAGTTATTCAATACGTTGTAAAACGAGAATCGTTTTTCCAAGTTACCGTGCGCTCTCGTGATGCCAATGGTAATGCGAATCGTTACGCAAATAATCTCGAGGACTTTGTTGTAGCGCATAACCGGGTTACTCTTAATACGGTTCGCATAAATTTTACAACGTTCTTAATATTCTTTAAGTGGTCCACGTAACTGGACCGTTCTTAATCGGATTTCATCAGTTGACATCGCGATCGACGAGTGGTCTTTAAATCTGGGACAAAATCGTCCGTTCTCAACGTGTTTGCTATCGAACTTTTAGGTAGAAGCGTCGATTTAATTGCAAATATCATAAGCGAATAAATAAGCGAAAATCTGTGGATCGAAGCCAAGGCCGATTTTGTTGTCGGACCGTCTGACGACAACCCGAATCGGATGTCATTTAAATGACTGTTCCGCATGACTCAGACACCTTGATAAAGCGACGATAGCAACATCCAGATATCTACAGATCCCAGATTAGATAACACAATCTTCCAGTCATTTTTAATCGTTATTTATAATTTTGTCGAAATAACCGGAAAATTGCGGACATGTATGACTAACTGTGTAAAGTATTCGGTATATTGTAACAATTGTAAAAAGGTTTCAGCGTGATCGTCGAAATTAGTAATTACCGAGTAAAAGGGTGCTGGTTAATACGTGGGCGTAACTTCAGCAATGGATCACGAAATAAGAGAAAAAATTTGATACGAACATACTTCCGATATAGAAATCTTGTTTCTGAATTACAGTCGTTTCTCTGTTCGCACCAGTTGTCCCACCTGTCCTCACAGAAATACTTCCGAAGCGAGAATCTTCAACACGAGTAAAAGCTTCTACAAACGTCTTCTCGCAGACCTCCTCACCCGGTTCAAACTTGTCAGATGCTGTCCGAATTCGCTGGAATAATCCTCTTCAACAGGGCTGCAAGAGTACCTCGACGTTATTTACCGGTGTGTTGTAAACCAAAGACTTCCTCAAGTATCCCCACAGATAGAAATCCAGATTTAAGTACGACGATCGAGTTGATTGCGCTCCCCTCTCCGTTAATGAGATATCAAACGTTACTTATAACACGTTCAACAAAGAGCTCTCCTCTATTTGCCGAAAGAATTACTCGAAGACGGGACAACATGTTTATACGAACTCTCTTTCTCTTATTTTTCCTATCCTGAATCCATATCACTGAAGCGTTACGCCCACGTGTTACAGGACACCCCGGGGTAGAGATTGCAGCGCACAGTGTTCTCCGTTAGAAATTTACAATTCGTTCCTTCGGATTTGGAGAATTTTACGGTGTTCCAACGTCGTCGTTCGCTGTCGTTTCGATCATTTTAACGTCATCGAACGCAGAACGCGGGGAGTGCAATTAAAAGAAACGTGGTGCAATTAGAAAGGAAAAAAAGAACCGTTTCAGTCGATTTAATGTACGGGGGATTCACAGTTTCATCGCAGCCTCCGGGCAATGGAACTCGGCCAATCAATCACTGGGGGGATCGTTTCGATCGCGGGCGGGACACCTCGAATTCCGTTCAGTAGTGGATACACAACAACAAGACTGTTCCCACGTTCCCGGAGCCTTTGAAAAATATGAAAAGGATAAAGAGACTCGGCGGCGGTTTTCGCGAAGCTAGGCAGAAGGAAGCAGGCAAGCTCGCTCAGGTGTTTCGCCTGAACTTCCGCGTAGGAACTGAATATTACTGGAACGAGTTCTTGAAGGGTTTCCAGGTGAGCAGCTGTAGCTGGCCGGCCGTCTGGAATGCTACTCATTGAAAACTGAACGACGGCTAGTACGGCTGCTTAACTGTAACCTGTGTCTGTTTCCTTTCTAAAAAAAATGGGCAAAACGATGACCGACTTAAAATTCTCGCCGGCTGATACACACTCGATTTCGACGAAGGGTAATAAATTTCGAAATCTGCCTCGAGATGAATAATTCGTAATATGTACATGCCACCGGCCTATTTGCTCGGTAAAAATGCCCCAGTGTGTAGGCCGCCGCCGTCTATCTGTCGTACGTGTAAAAAAGTGTCTGGAGACATTCCGAGTTCAGAGATTTTCGTTGATTAATTGCTGCTGCAAAGTCCGAACGAAATTTTAGGTCAATTCTCTCTTGACGTTAAATCATAAATATCCTCGGAGATTTCGAAGATATTTCTAAAGTCAAATTGGTTTTGAAAATGTGTGAACGAACGTATGGGTTTTTTTCTACCATCGATAGATCTCGCTTTTCTTCTTTTTTTTTTCTTTTCGAACGATGTTATATGTTAGGCATCGTTAAAAATGCAACAGCTGTTTCAATTTCTCGTATATATCTGACGTCAACGCATCTGTCGAACCGCTTTAGAAACGAGACTAACCGTACTACGGCCAACAACGACCCACATACCTTATATGTAATTAAATTAAACAGCATCGAGACGAGTCGAGAAACGTAACGAGCACCGTACGAGACACTTCAGACACGATAATTACAATCACCGTAGAGTATTTAATAAATATTCAAGCGTTGCCAATTTACGAGAACACCACGCATCTCTTGTCTCGCGTCCGATCGCGGACTACATGATTCCGTATTGTGTAAAAAATCGCTCGTGTATGTATATATATGTATGTGTGTGTGTGTGCGCGTGCGTGCGTGTAAGTCGAAAGATGCACGATACCGGTTCCTTCGTGAACGCGTGCAAGTGCAACTGTGAGTTGCCAGCTAGTCTCGTCAGTTTGCATTTGGATTACTTTTGTCCACAAGTTTGTCGCCGTTGTTAATCACTCTGTTCTCGTTTGTTTGCTTTTTCATGGCCCTTGATGAATATCTGCAATATCTATTGCCGAAAATTTTTATCTTCGCTTTTCGTTGCACTTAATTTTTGTCGGTATTAAAGTTTTAGACGTACCGTAAAGAAAAAAAAAAAATGAATAATAATTAATGTAATATCAACCGAATTTTGTTTCAACAATTATCTACTTTATTATTTAAAAACATTTCGTAACAATTACCATTTTATATTGTGAGGTTATATAGTTATCACTTTACATTCTATTTATGTTAGTGATTCTACTATTTAATTCTACACACATATTTATATTTACTGGATCGTAAGCGTCAACCATTCTCACAACTGTTTTTTATATTTATGTTGTCTCAATTGAGAAAATCGAGAAGCTTTTCGTAAGAAAGCTTCACGTCACTTGAGTACTACTCGCGCTCGCGACCCGTCTTTGAAGAATAACATGTTGGCAACTGTGAATTCGCACATTTTTCATTTGGATAAACCACTTTTGAGGAACATCGAACAATTTTACAAAGTATATACATTCTCGAACGATTAATTCATCGGTTCAGGTGAAATAGCCACAACGTGCAATATAGGAGATACGTCAGTGTTCACGAGAGAAATCGGGAATCCCATTGACATCTACCTGCTAAATTATCGTTTAGTACCGTTGTGCTGATCCGTTCTATTGGGATAAATATTAATACAGTGATACGGGGATTGTCAAATGTCAACTTGTTCGAGCAGAAATGAAGAAAGTCAATTTTGTGACCGATCATATGAATATTTGGACCGAACGTACGAAAATAGTCATACGATAAAATTGTTCTCTTTCGCACTCGATCTCGACTTATCTGTACGCGCGTGTATTACACTCACCTCCATTTTCATCGTTGCCACCGACGGAATTTCACACCGAGGACCAAACACCAACTAAACCTTTTGTTAGATGCGCTTCCTGATATGGATTGCCGAACTCGGGGCACGATTTCGATCCGTTTATCTGATCGTAAACGCAAGTGTCTAATGTCCGTATCTATTATCATGCCGTGCGGTTACGTCACGTCGTTGGATCTCTTCTTTTTCTTTGAACCGTATATCCTGCGTCGAAAGTTCCAGGGGAATTCTTCAAAATTCGGTCCAGGAAAATTCAAACGCGTATACCGATCCTTTCTGTCAACGACCGCTCTCAAGAACCAATCCGGCTTTAACTACGGCCACGCTCGACGGCACTAAGTGGAATCTTCTCTTCGTTCCGTGGCAAAGAACGCGACTCGAAAGCTTCGTCGCGGCTCGATTAATTTTTACGAGGAAATTTTAATTTAGCCACCAAGACGAATCCTCGTGTGATTTATGAGCTGCGAGAGCGTGAATTGCGTTTGCCACAGCGACTCGTCTCTAGAGTACGCCGCCTAACTAGATTGGCCGAGAGAAACTACGATAAGGAGCCGGTGTGCGTTATTGCGAGAGGCGACGACAGCAAAGTCCGGTGGACTTCGGTTTCGAAACGAGCTCCCGAAGCTCGAAGCGCGCGTACATTCTTATCCCTAACACGGCTGCTCTTGTAACTTTCGAAACTGTGAGCTTATAATCGAGATGCAGCCGGACTCCGCTCAACGACTGCCATTTTACCTGCATGACCTTGTTCTCCGACCGTTCTCTGAACAAAAGCAACAGAGCCAAACTGCGTTGCATCCGTCAAATGTCCCTTTGTGCCGGCTTATCACATGGGTAAATATTCTTTCGTAATTTCAATCGGTGTTCGCACAACCGTATCCCATGAATTCTGTTCTGCATTACTTGATCTGACTGGAAACAACTCGAATTGTAACAATGTACGTATTTTTCGATTATACGTACTATTTCTAGGAAATATGACAGTTTAAAGGATATATTAGTAATGTCCAATATGAATTATTTTCTGATTAATTTACTAGCTTAAGAGAAAATCGTATTGTTTTTAACAAAGTTTTTAAACTTATTTCAATGAAGTAAAATGCATTAACTTTGTTTGAAATTGTTGATTGTTCCTTTTTTCGCTATCTCTGAAGATATATCGTACATTAATTGACACATAATAAGAATAAATATTGTTATGGAATCAATGTAATGAGTCATTTTATTTATCGTATTGCAATGTTAAACAATTTTGCTGATTTAAGATTACATAAGTTGTTTTAGATTTAATTTTACCGCATAATGGAACATATGTTACAACACGAGCGCCATCTGTATTCTATACTCTTATATTCTTTAAATACAAAAAAGAATTTACAAAATTTAAAAACACCTAATTTTTTAACTTTTTCACGATATTTTGCAAAGTTAATATAATGTACAACCAAACTGCACTTAAAATAATATTGTAAAATTCTGTTTTGTTGTTTCATTTGCTCTTTTTGTAAATGGACAATTAGGATTTGATAGAAGCATTATGGTCATTGGTTACTCTTTTTAAAAAATATTTCATTTCATAACTAACCTATAAGACAGTGTTTTGAATTCTTATAAGTTTATTATTGTAAGTAGAAAATTTGACCTTTATCTTTTATATTTGACGCCTACACAGCTCGAAAAATAATCTCATACATATGTGTATGTACAAGTATTCTATACCATTATATCAATTTTTCTATATGTGTAATTACGTGATTTAATTTACGTATCGTGTATCGTGATTTTAATTATATATAGGTGTTTATAAATATATTTTTCATTTTAGTATATAATTACTAAATGTTTATCATATCTGTTATTCATATAAAAATTTAATTACAATGCACAATATTAAAGAAGAATACAACATGCAGATGATAAATAAGGAACAGTTTTCTCCAAACAATAGTAAGTAATTTAACTCTTCTGATATGTTTATTAATTTTTCAGTACTACACAAAATGTATGTAAATAAACATATATTATTCTTAAGTAAATTGTCATATAAGAGATTTAACTGCAGATATTCATACAGGTATGCAACAGTGGAATGCACTTCATTTACAAGGAATAACATTGTTAAAAAATATAACTCAAGAAAAACAGAATGAATCTTACCCTCAAATACTACAAGAATTATGCGATAAATTGGAAATTATTTGTGATGCATTGGTAATATATTTTTTAACATATCTTTGTTTTATAAAAAATTAATGATCACGAGTGAAGCTCAAATAAAGTATTTTTCTAGGATGATATTGTGAAAAATTTTGCTGAGATTACACATCAAATAAAGATAACAAGTTTTTTAAGAAAAAATACAGACAAATTATTTACAACATGGTCCAATGTAAAATTTGGTAAAAATATGTAATTATATTTCATCAATTGGAAAACAATATAATTCTATAATTAATTACAATTAATTCAGATCATGGTATAATATTCATTATGATTTATCTTAGGAGAAACAGCAGAATCTATATATAATGCATATTCACATGAAGTAAGAATAAAACGTAAAATTGTGGAAGATATAGCACATCATTATACTGATTCTTGGAAAATGTTATTCCTTGCAAGTTGGGTGCATCAACCATTACTGTCAGAGAGTCTAAGAACATCTTTGGAATCAATGTTACTTGAGACTGGGCATAGATATTTATAGTTATTATTGGTATGAATTTTGGTAAGTATTTTCTATTTAAAAATGATTCTGTGTTTATAATAAGTGTTGTTTGTATTATATAATAACTTATAACTATTAAAATAAAACAAAGGTTAGTAGAATGATCATTTATTTGTGGCTCTTCAAATACCATTTGTATAATTTCACAAAAGGGAAAAGAAATATAGAATTAAAATAAGTAGTCAGAGTCTAAAGTGAATTATGAAATTCTGTTTACAATTGGTACCTGAGATCACAAAAATTTAATATAAATATAGACAAGTATAAACATATTACATGTTTGCTTGTAAATACAGATTCTAGAAAATGTATCTTGTAGATACAAGGAACCAAATCTGCAAAATTAATGCATTTTATAATTAATTCCGTTTAATCTAATGTTACTAGTGCCATTAACATTTAATTATACCAATAATTTGTTATTATGTACAATATATATTTACAGATAAATATAAAATTAATAATTTCCACTGTACATAAATGCTATAACAATGTGGATGGAATTATTTCCTTGATATTTAAAGTATTTTCACTAATATAGTATTTTATACAAAAGCTGCAAACAATCCACCTTAATTCATGTTGTTTGAATTATATACTAAAATGTTGTTTGAAATCTTTGAAGTTATTACATATTCACTGTTACAATACTTTTTTTAGTCATAATGAAATTATTGATACAATATAAATACAATGTTGACTTTATCAGTTTACAAATCCAGATATCACCTCTGTTAGAAATTTAATCATAGATCTAGGAAGTTAAATACTGAACCATCAAATAATTTGTGCACAATAATTTTTGTAACATTGTAATTAAAAGTTTTGTTTTATACTATTTAATATATAATTCTGGTAGGTTTAATTCTTTATTTTCCAGCTCATTGTGTATTACCATGAACCTTCTAAGAAAATGAACTTGGATTGAAAGTATTGGTTATATTATCTGTATGATTATAAAGATTGTTTACTAAAAATAAAGAATATTTATGTGTCCTAGAAAAAATCGTTTTACACTGAAGACAATATAACAAAGTAAAACTCCTTTATGTAACATCAATACATGTTTTGGGTTTACTACGACATTGCCTTTTTGCATGCGAAATTTACATTATACACAATAAATATGACAGAAACAGTCTTATTTACATACACATACCAGAATGTGAAACGTTATATCACTTTGCTATTGGTACTCTTCATTCAAATATAGAAATTATAATATTATATATTGATTGCGATACTGTCGGAAATTCTATAAAAAAATATCTACACCATTGTGTAATCATACATATACAATTTTAATTGTATAAGTTCGATATTATTGTACACTATACATATTATTTTAACTTCTTTAGGAACATCTTGCATGCCATCATCCAAGAATCAACTTCTGGTATTTCTATTGAATTCTTCACTTAGTGCATCGAAATCGAGATCTGTATCTAAGTTTGAATTATTTGGTATCAAATTGTTCTCTAATATATTATCTGGCATAATATTTTTTAATCGTTCAGATACTAGTTCATCAACTAAATTTGATTGATCTACTAGATGCAATTGCTCGACTAATTTTTCATCAATTAGTAAATTTTTATCTATTACACCACTTGTGTTTAAAATATCTAAATGTGTAATGTGATCATATTGAGCTATTTTTGACATATCTAAATTTTCTGAACTGCCAAATATACTAGTATCACAATTATTTGAAATTATTGGTACTGTATCTTGAAGTATTGGTAAGTTGTCTGAAATTTTGCAACTAGATGTAGCAGGCATTATTTTGCAAGAACCTGTGTCTAATGACGCGGATTGAGTTTTAACGCAATTTATATCTGATGAAGTTATAGGGATTATTTTAGAAACCAGTTTTTGGAAACCTTTCGCGAAGTTCTGAGATCCATTCTCTATATTATTTAAACTATTTTGCACTTTTTCAAAATTTGAAGCATCTTGTTTTGGATAAGCTTCTACAGCACAGTTTTCTAATTTAACAAAACCCTGTTCCGTTGGTTCTAATTTTATGAAAGCTTGTTCTATATGCTCTATCTTAGGTTCATAATTATCTTCAACCTTACAGAAGTTTGATGATCCTAAATTGTTCCCTAGTTTTGTAAAATTTTCTTTATGAGACTCTGTTTTTTGGTAATTTGAAATTTTTGGTGAAATGATATCCACTTTTTGGAATCCAGGATTATCTGAGATTTGATTTTGAATTTCTGGATTTGAAATTAAAAGTTTCGACACGTTGTTGGATTTATTACTCTCTGTAGTATTTGCAGGACTGGGATTTCTTCTCATTAGTGTTAAAGCTGATAATACTTCTGGGCAAGTCGGATTTGTTACAGAGTCACTTCTTCTATCACTTAAAAAGTCTGAAACACTGAGATCTGAACTTTCAGAAAATCCACTAGACATTCGTTCTTCCATATTTTCTTTACCATCTTCAGATGTATCTGTCTTTTGAAGTTTGAGAGGAGGTTCTTCATTATCGTAGGTACTACAAATAGGAGTATCAACTTTTTTTAGAGCTTCATTGTTAATCTTATATAAACCTGGATTAAGACCTAAAGCATCACAAAGTGATTCTTCACTGATATCAATTAAATCTTTGTTTGATTCTTCGCCGCTATTTGCAACTGTTAATATTGCTCCAGCTTTTTCCCGAATTGTATTCATTAATTGTTTTAATTCATTCAAAAAATTTCTTACATTATTTTCAGACTTTAGTACTAATAAATCAAATAATGATTGTGCGTTAAGTACCGGCTTTGCAGCTATTTTTATTATTTCGAGATCTTCACATACAGAAATTGCTTCCCGTAATTTTATTTGACGTCTTTCTGACTTAGCTTCAGGGGTAACATAAGCCCAAGGACCTCGTTTTTTTCCTTTACGTTTTAAAGGATCTTGTCCCCCATTTTGTTTCAATTCAGGTTCAGGTGTTGGAGGAGGTAGTTGTTCAGGACTGCCATGGTCAGGATGCATTTCAAAATGCCTCGCCATACGAGTACGTCCCAAATATATTTTATTACATGTGGGACACCTAAAATGATCTGATATTTTTCTTTTTGGTACTTCTAGTCCTGTTAATAATTCTTTAGGTGATTCTTCTTCTTCAAGTTTATCGTTGTTAGTATTATAGTCACTATAACCACCATCTGAATCATCTAAATCAGGTTGTAAAAAATCTAAATGGTGTAAATGTTTATAATCTCGTACCATATGTCTTGGAGGTCGAGAAAGTCTACCAGATCGTGTTCTAGCTACTACTTTTTTCCTTTCATCCTGAAGAATACATTAACATATTAGTATTATAAGAGAACTTCGATTAACAGAAAAATAACTGAGATATACTTTTAACTCTTCTTGTTCTTCCTCTGGAATTGGTGGTGGCTTAGGTGGAAGTAAAGAAGGTCTAATAGCGCTTTTTTTTGGCCTACCCCTTTTTCCACCGCGATTTTTTAATAAATTTCCTGGGTTTCTAATTCGTAAATCCAGTTCTTCAGGAAATACAACTCTAAACATGTATATGAATGTTTAAAAATTATTATGCACATACTTATTATTGCATATACTAACCTGTATACAACTCTTTCATTTGATGCAGCTGCTTCTTGACTACGCTGTTGCAAAACATGTGCAATTTGCTTCAATTGTGTTGGTGTTAAGCGTTGCATACTATGGTAAATATAATCATTATGAAATAAGAATATTAAAAGTATATTGTACATTAATATTGTTTACA